CCGAGCTTTTATCCTTGATCACCTCGCCTTATGATGTGTTACGTTTTTAACGGTTTCGAGTCTTGATTTAGTCCGTGTTTTGAGTCATCTATCATGTCAAATTCCGTCTTTTGCGTCTTTTCGGTTGTGTCTTGAGTCCTTTGCAGGTTAATGGTGCTAGAGCTGGATTCGGAGCATCTTGTGCGTAATTGAGCCTATTCGGAGCTAAAACAATGGAGAAATGGTACAGAGATCACCATGAGCTGGGGATCGATCGATCCAAGGCGTGGATCGATCTATCCCAATTGTGACGATGAAGCCAAAAGTTCCAGTAGCTCGGGATCGATCGGTCCCAGGAGGGGATCGATCGATCCAACCCTCATCCGTCAAGAGGTGTTCATTCCAGGAGCTCGGGATCGATCGATCCCAGGTGGGGATCGATCGATCCACCCTTTTCGACGACCAGACCGGTTTTCCTTAACCGGGTTTATTTGCCTTTTTCTGCATTTGGGTATAAAAACCCAGAGAAACCTATTTTTCTTTCTACGCTTTCTTTTTTCTGCAATTTTGGGAGACTTCTCTTTGTAAGCTTTTTGGGATTCTAGAGATTCATCCTCTTTGACACTTTGGAGAAGATTTCTAAACCCTTGTTCTTTATTTATCAATTCAATTATGCGTTCTTCATCTCTTTGTGTTGTTCTTTTCAATATGTGTGAGTAGTCTCTTAATTGGGTTTTAGGGTTCTTATTAGAAAGTCAATGGATTAGTGAATAGATTGTCATAGGGAATTCTCTATCATTAGATTCTTCGATTTACATGTTCTTAATGCTAGAATAGGATTGATCACCCTGTTGTAGATTCTAGGTTTCTCTATGCATCAAAAGTGTTCGATAGAATGCCTGAATGAATGTAAATTGAGCAATGTGTTTCTAACCAACGAAAGTTGACGTTAGAACGCATTGTGAACGAAATGAACCAACTTGTTAATGCGAATTTGATTAGGAAACTACATGCGAAAGTTTAGTAGTTGAGTAATCGAATTTAGTGGCTAATGTCTTGAAAGAGAGTTAGTCTAGAATTGTGTTCATAGTTGAGAATGGTTCTTCATTTATGAATTCCTCGTTTCGTTTATCCCGCTAGCCATTGTCTTTTGAAATACCCTAATGCCCAATGCCTTTTAATCTTGAAGTTAAATCGTTTAATTAATTTGCATTTTTATTTTACAAACTGAAAACCCGAACAAGCAATCTTTTTAGTTTTAGCTAAGAACAAGTCTCGGAAATCCTTAGAGTATCTTTGGTCCTTGTGGATCGACCTCGAATATACTACCTAGCGGTTAAGTGTATCGAGTTAATTACTCGAGCAATCACCTTACCCCTCCATGGACATCATCGGTCCTTTGCACAACTTTAAGCAGAAAAACTTAGTGCTCGTCTTAACAGATTACTTCTCCAAATGGATCGAGGCAGACTCATTTGCTAGCATCAAGGACGCACAGGTGGAAAGCTTTTTCTGGAAAAACATCATATGTCGCAACGGGATCCCTTATGAAATTGTCACCAACAACGGATCGCAGTTCATCTTGACTCGATTCGAAGGATTCTGTGACAAATGGGAGATTCGACTCAGCAAATCCACGCTTTGGTACCCCCAAGGCAACAGACAGGCAAATGCAACAAACAAAACGATTTTCGATGGCTTAAATAAACGCCTCGATGCCAAGAAAGGCCGCTGGATTGACGAATTGGAAGGAGTGCTTTGGTCGCATAGAACGACACCACGTCGGACCACTGGAGATACTCCATTCGCTCTCGTGTACGGGACGAAATGTGTAATCCCTGCCAAAGTCAAAGTACCAGGGATATGAAGACGACTGTCTCCCAAGCAAGAAAAAGTCAATACCCAGATAATGCTCGACGAACTGGACCTGATCAACGAAAGAAGAGACATAGCTTTAGTCCATGTGCACAACTACCAAAACGCAATGGCTCGGTACTATAACTCCCATGTGAAGCATCGACATTTTCACGAGGGAAATCTCGTGCTTCGTAAGGTCTTCCATAATACCGTCGAGCTGAATGCAGGAAAATTAGGAGCTAACTGGGAAGGACCTTATGCGATATCAAAAGTCGTTCGTCTCTGTGTGTACGAACTCATCAACATAATGGGCAAAACAATACGAAAATCCTAGAATGCCATGCATCTAAGGAAATACTACCGCTAAAACCTAAGATACGCGTAAAACTTGAACTATGAGGTGGCTTGATCCCTGAAATGGGTACGTAGACAGCTTGTCCTCGGATGAGTTCAGCTATCCCCTCCCCCCCCCCATAAAAAAGGAGGGAGGGAGTGGGGTCCGTATATCTATACTCCCACTCTTTAAAACTATCATACTTCGAGTTTTTTCTTTTGAAACTTCCGTAAATCACAGTTCTCTTCGGTGATGGCCACACCCACGAACTGGTTTATCACTTCCGCAAGTGTTCATTACACCGCTTCGGTCACAGTACGCTATACAAGTATTCGAGACATAATCTATCGAGAAGGCTAGAATTCAGTTTTCTGAAACCCCAGTTATTCCTAACACTGGTGCCCCAGCTCATTTCTAAATGCTGGTTATTGGCTGAATTAGATCGGGTCGCAACCGTGAGAATTCAAGTCTACTATACTAAAACCCATTTATCTTAAAACACTGGTACCTAACATTTGATTCGGCTATGTAATTTTTTTTCTTTTTGGCTTAACGTTTTAAAAAAAAATCGCTTCGGAACAGAAACCATTCGGAATAGCTCGTATATTTACTTGATAGAAGAAACAATGTTTTGGATAAAACCATTTATGCATAAATTCGTACATAAAAACAAAAAAGAAAGAATAAGAAGAAGGGAAAAAGAAGGAAGTCGCCGCTTTAGGTTCATTCATCTCGCTCTTCATCAGAAGTACGACAAATTCGGTACGGAATCACCCGATCGACCGATAGATGCCTTGCGATACGTTTGGATACGTCCGCATACGTTTGGATCTGTCCGCATAGGTTTGGATACGGACGCATACGTTTGGATATGTCCGCGTACGTTTGGATACAGCCGCATACGTTTGGATACGTCTACATACATTTGTATACGTCCACATACGTACGGATATGTCCGGGTACGTCCAGATACGTCCGACTTTAATCTTTTCTTGTCCAAATCTGATTTTGCTCGACCAAATCTTTTTGTTTCCCATCCTTAGTGAATTCTTACTCTTTCTAAGTTCTTCTTTGGGTTTCCGTCGACAAATTTCGCTCGGCCGCTTATCCCTTAGTGAGGGTCACTACAATGAGGGTCAGGTTTCTTCGTCTTCTTGGCTTGTTTTCTCCTCGTTTGAGCCTCCGCAGTTTGCGTCTGAAGCTCTAGTTGAAGCTGTTGTGCTTTCTGTTAGAGTACATATTCTATATATGTACTCTAACACTTTCTCCTCGGGATCGTAGTACATTTCCTCTTCCTTAATCTCGGAAAAAACAGGCAGTTCGGGCATATCTAGCCATTTAGAACATCCTGCTTCGCCTACCGCAGGTTGGCGATGGTTTTTCCTCATAAGCATTTCATCAGACTCTTCGGGCAAATCCAGGTCCCGACCCACATCCGCGAGAGCATCTTCCCGAGAAACGAAACGGCTTGGGTATTCTTGGCTATGGGATGACAACTCTGCATCGCTGTCCTGGCGCGAAACATTGTTCGATCCCGAAGTAATTGCCTCGGGATCAGTCGAGGAGCTACTCCAAACCATCTTCTTTTTAAATATTGGAGGAAAATCGTCGCGTCTGACCGAATCACTTGAGTCGGAAAGCATTTTTGCCTCGGGAGAACCGTTCGAAAAGATAGATGTTGATGGGAAAACAAAGAATTGCTAATCGAAAAAATCAAATCGAACCCGACTCACGGCGGCGTTTGAACAGAATGAAGAACAGAAAACAAAAAGTAAGAAAAATCAAGTTCAGAGAGAACAGAGCGAACCTCGAGTTTTTGCTTCAGGACTGCAAAATAGTGAAATGAGTTGAGAGCTTGGTATTTATAGAGACTTTAGGCGCGTCGGGTGCGCGTGAGCTCGGTGAGATGCGTCGCGTCCGCGTAAATTTTGGTAATTAGCGAAAGACGTTTCCGCTTCTCGAGAGAGAGAAATCCAACCATCACACGCAAAAGAAGATGAAACGTCGAAGAAGATGAAACGACGAAAAGGAAAAATGTTGAAGAAGACGAAACGCCGAAGAAGATGACCGTCAAGGAGGAAACGTCAGGAAAGATAGATCGCTTCGGCAATCAACCATTTGAAGGGAAGCTCGAAACGGAAGTTGATGGCTCGGTCAGCTCGTTCGTGAAGCTTGTCACACTTGTTCCCCAAGTCAACGAGCTGGGGGGGCTAACTGTTGGGGTCGGATTTCACCCGCCTTAGGAGACCGAGCCAAATGTTGACAATCATGAAACACCTCGGGATCATATGTATGACAATGAAGAAAGCCGAGCCAAATCAGTAAATGGCTCGGGTTACATTCGCTGTGATCAGGGCCGAGCTAAACCCTCAAGCACCCCGGGTCCTAAGTCAAGACTTCATGGGCAAGAGCCAAGATAAACGCCTCGGAAAACAGTCTACTTCGCCTCGGGAGACAGTCCACTTCGCCTCATGGGACTGTCCACTTTGCCTCGGGGGACAGTCAACTCTTGCTCCAACGCTACACATCTAGCTTCCCAGCTCTGTCGCAGCTTGCTACGGACTCAACACTCACCGCTTGGACTCATGTCATTCTGCGATATGTCTTTCAAGTGTCTATTCACACTATGGAGAGAACGGAACCAACATAGACATGGTGAGCTTCCTACTTCTCACGACCAGCTGCTCAAATACATTGACAACCTCTTCAGAAAACAAAGTAAGCACTCTCAAGCATCTGGGCAACTCACAGTTTGAGGACGCACTCCGTATTTGGTTTCGAACGCGAGTCCACACACTCCCTTAATTTTGATCATCAAAATCTTTCAATTTAATTCAAAACAAGGATACATATAATGTAAACAGTGGTATTTTTGTGGTGTAAATAAACTGAACATTCATCCAAAAGAAAAATAATAATAATAATACTTTTTATTTTTTAGCTTTATATATATGAAATCTTGTAACAACCTTATTCCTATATTAGATTAGTTCCATGGGAAACATTTTTCTTGACCCGTTAATCTACATGGACCACTAGGTCTTATACTCCAAACACAGGGATGATGTTCACATATATTTTTATCTCTGTTAGCTTCAAGAATATCAAACCATTTAGATTGATTTTCCCATACAAAGTGACAAAAAAACAGAGTTGTATCCCAAAAATTAATAGATTCTCTAAACCCCCAATGTTGATGTTGGGCTAAAGAATGTGATCCGAGATCTTTGTGCTTTGATTTGCAGTGTAGTCCCAATTGAATATTTGAACCAATATCATTAATGATGTCCACTTGTACCTCACGATTAGCCTTGCAAAGACCGCTGAAGAGAAAAACCACGAATGTTACACTAAATATTATGGAAAATGCCGATGAGCAACTCATTATGAATATATTTTTAATACTAGTAGTTATGAAGATTTTACAAAATGAACTTAAAGTTTTAGTATCCCATCTTTTTATACTCAAGTTACATTTGATTAAGATAGTCAAAGTAGGTAAATATTTTTTACACTCGATCTAGAAATATTTTTTCTTTATAAAGAAAAGGTAGAAAAAGGAAAAGAAACAATTGTTGACCATGTCCAAAGAACAACGAATTTGACCCATTGATTAAGATAGTCAAAGTAGGCAAATATTCTTTACTCTCCAAATATCTTTTCTTTATAGAGAAAAGGTAGAAAAAGGAAAAGAAAAAAACAATTGCTGACCATGCCCAAAGAACAACGAATTTGATCTGTTGATTAAGATAGTTAAACTAGGCAAATATTCTTTAGTCTTGATCCAGAAATATCTTCTTTTTTTCGAGAGAAGGTAGAAAAAAGAAAATAAACAATTGCTGACCATGTCCAAAGAACAACGAATTTGACCCGCGATATATTTTTTCTTTTTTTCGCTTCATTTGATATGTCATTTCTAGTTCTATTTTAATAATCCACTTGAAAGAAATGGCCTAATGATATGAAATACTTGTATGACGATTTGGTAAACATCTTGAGGTTTTGTTTATCTGGTCAGCAAGTTCTTTCTTGGTGGTTTCAGTTTTAAAGCTTTGAATAAGTATTATGCGTCTATCTTACTGAAAATCTTACCAATTTATTGGCAGGTTAAGGAGGCATACAATCTCGGTGTTTGTGGGTGATGAGAGCGGTATAATAAACTGGATTTGCTAGAATATTAAGTAAAAATTGTATTTTAAAATTTATCAAATCTTCTAAGATGAAACTGGTACAAGTTAGGTTTTGATTTTTAAAGATCTAATTTTAAATGTTGGGATGAAAACAGATTAAGGGAAAGAACTTTCAACTTTTCGGGCTAAAAAATACTTTTTATATTTCAAACTTATGTCTACAACTCTAATAATACCACAAATATTTCATGTGTTAGGTTTATAGGGTTACTATTTTTTTTTAAAGGGTTATATTTCAGATACAAATATTTCGGATTCGGGTTACCAAAAGTTTTCAAAAATCAATAATTTTGTTTCCAAATTTATCAAAACTACTAAAAAATACCCAAAATATCTAAAAGCTTCGAATAGTTTTTACCCATATTTAATCAATAGTAGGTTTAATACCCAAAAATATTAAAAATATCCGAAAATCCTAATATTTTAGACACTTAGGTTATTAAAATCTTAAAATATAAATATTAGTAATAATATATTATGGGTATGTTCGGGTTCAGAGTCGAGTTCGGGTTTTCGGATCTTGAGATCTAGGACCCATTCGGGTAATTACAATTTCGAATACAGGTTATGATCGGGTTTTTCACATTGGTTTCGGTCAGGTCCTCGAGTTCGGATATTATGCTCACCCGCCATTTACCGTCATAAACAAAGTTTGAGAGACGGTCCATTGAACGGTTTATTTACCCATCTCCACCGCCGAATTCTATATCAAATGCTAAAGAAGCGGATGAAGCAACAACAGCTCTAACTATAAAAGCATCGTTAGAAGTCTGAGATCACTGAAGTTGAAAGAAACAAAATTATAGAACACTAAAATCATCGATAGAAGAAGGAAGATATATGTATTCACAATACTTCCTGAGCCATCTTTCCACAAACCCAACAGTTATATTCACAGAGAATAAAAGAAGAAAAAAAGAAAAGATAGAGGTTCAGATTTAAGACAAAAGACTAGTTCTCGAGTCTCAATGAGATATCAACCATATCGAAATGGAGCGATTCTTAATATCCAAACAATATCTTGATCAAAGTAGTAGTGAGAGTTCACATCAATAGTGTTCCCTACTTCATGAGTTCAAAACTCTTTCAATGGCGGAAATGTAGAACTCTTTAGGCATTGTACCCATGATTGACTCTCGTTTCTCCCCGTTCTTGAAGAGCAGAACTACTGGCACATCCTTTATCTCGTACTCTTCAGCCACCGACAAGTCATTGTCTGCGTTCAGGACATAACAGTTTAGTTTTCCGGCATAGTCCAATGCTATTTCGTCTATTATCCTGTGGACCATCCGACATGGACCGCACCAACTTGTGTAGAATTCTACTAGCACTGGCGTTTCGCTTTTGAGGACTGAGTCTTCCCATGATCGTTCTGTAACTTCAGTAGCTGCACATAGAAAAATGAGACATGAGGATTTCAAAATTAAAATATTCTTAGTGTCATACTTATAATTGAAACAGATTAAGCACTCTCAAGCATCATGGTAACTCACAGTTTGAGGACGCACTCCGTATTTGGTTTGGGACACGAGTCCACACACTCCCTTAATTTTCATCATCAAAATCTTTCAATTTAATTCAAAAAAGGATGCATTTAATGTAAACAGTGGTATTGTTTTGGTGTGAATAAATTTAACATTCATTCAAAAAAAATATAATAAGAATAATTTTTATTTCTTAGCTTTATAGATATGAAATCTTGTAACAACCTTATTCCTATATTACATTACTTCCATGGGAAACATGTTTCTTTACCCGTTAATCTACATGGACCACTAGGTCTTATACTCCAAACACACGGAAGATGTTCACATATATCTATATCTTTAGCTACAAGAATATCAAACCATTTAGATTGATTTTCCCATACAAAATGACAAAAAAATAGAGTTGTATCCCAAAAATTAATATTTTCTCTAAACCCCCAATGTTGATGTTGGGCTAAAGATTGTGATCCGAGATCTTTGTTCTTTGATTTGCAGTGTAGTCCCAATTGAATATTTGAACCAATATCATTAATGATGTCCACCTGTACCACACTATTAGCCTTGCAAAGACCGCCAAAGAGAAAAACCACGAATGTTACACTAAATATTATGGAAAATGCCGATGAGCAACTCATTATGAATTTTTTTTTTAATACTAGTAGTTATGAAGATTTTATAAAATGAACTTAAAGTTTTAGTATCCCATCTTTTTATACTCAAGTTACATTTGATTAAGATAGTCAAAGTAGGCAAATAATTTTTACACTCGATCTAGAAATATTTTTTCTTTATATAGAAAAGGTAGAAATAGGAAAAGAAACAATTGCTGACCATGTCTAAAGAACAACGAATTTGACCTGCTGATTAAGATAGTCAAAATAGGCAAATATTCTTTACTCTCGATCTAGAAATATCTTTTCTTTGTAGAGAAAAGTAGAAAAAAATGAAACAATTGCTCACCATGTCCAAAGAACAACGAATTTGACTCGTTGATTAAGATAGTCAAAGTAGGCAAATATTTTTTACTCTCGATCTTGAAATATCTTTTCTTTTTAGAAAAAAAAGTAGAAAAAAGAAAATAAACAATTGCTTATCATGTCCAAAGAACAACGAATTTGACCCACTATATTTTTCTTCTTTTTTTTTCCTTCGTTTGATATGCCATTTTTGGTTCTATTTTAATAATCCTCTTGAAAAAATGGCCTAATGATATGAAATACTTTTATGAGGATTTGGCAAACATCATACAAACTACTCGAAAATTGTTAAGTTTAATTTGTATTATAAAATCTATCAAATCTTCTAAGATGAAACTGGTACAAGTTAGGTTTTTATTTTTATAGTTCTAATTTTAAATGTTGGGATGAAAACATATTAAGGGAAAGAACCTGCAAGTTTTAGGGCTAAAAAATACCACATTTTTAATTTTCAAAAATTATGTCTACAACTCTTTCAATGGCGGAAATGTAGAACTCTATCAACAGCCAAGGAAAGCTTCTTTTTCAGAGATCCAGGGTTACATGGTTGAGTGAAGGAGACAGAAACAGCGCATACTTCCCCAAAATAGCTTCTTCAATGCAGGCAGGAAACTTGTTGCCCAATCTGTCATTTGTAAACAACTCAACAACCTTCTTTACAACCAAATTACTATCCCGCCATCAGTTATCTTTATGGAAATTGCAAGGAGAACGAATAAGCGAAGCGATTCACAGCGCTTATGAGCCTCTGGATGCATTGAAGATTGGCACAAATCCAACTCTGAAATGTATTGCTTTCTTGTTTTTAGCTCGGATACCAATTGTATAGGTTGAGCTCGATGTATAACCAACATTTTTATATTAACGATATTTACAATTTAGAAAAAGAAAAAAATGGTACGTGTCTCTATATTCGGTCAGTTAACCGAAGATCCAATCGACTTCTTGGTCGGAGAAAAGTTAATTTCTATTTATTTTTGCTTGCAAGAGAAAGAGAAGGCCAGAGAGAGGGACAGAGATGCATCGAAGGTGATGAATGTTCAAATTGATTCGATCAAAGTCCGAGAGGATGCTTTCTCATGGATTAAATTTGATTCTTGTCATGATCGTTATCGGAGGATCCATTAACAAAGTCAACGCTCGTTGTATAGGGACATGCGATCGATTGACTCTGCCTTACCCGTTCGGGTTCTCACAAGGTTGTCCGATCCAGTTCAATTGCTCCAGGTCGGGTCTAGCGATGATCGGGGACTTTTCCGTCCAAAATCTGACGGTAGACAGTATATTTGTCAGCATACCGCGCGATTGCAATCGGGCGATTGAGAACGTGAAACCACTTTTCGGGGAGCTATACACTCTTTTTTTTTTTTTTTTTTTTGGTATGAATGTAAAATTGTATTCACCAAAAAAAAAAACTGTTTTACAAATAATGCATCATTTAGTTCAAAGAGATGAAACAGTTCATATAACTTTTAAAAAAACTGAGAAGGAGATTAGTGGCTGTGGGTGTGGAACCAGTAGCGCAAACCACCTTCGTATACCGGCGAGCCCGACTGAGCCAAAGTACTCAACCGGTTTCTAGCGTTCTTGTCGATCAAGCGAGTTAGTTTGGATGCTGGCGTCGGAGTATCTCCATGTCTACGTCCATTCCTTTCTCGCCAAATGCTATAGATTGTAAGCTGAAACACGTATCTCAACACAAATAAGTGAAGCCGTGGAGTTGATGGAGCGTTGAGTAATGGTAGGAGAGATTCCCATCTTGCCGTGAAGTTGCTGCCTAGCATGTCACGAGCGAGAGCTGACCAAACTTGGGAGAAGTAGTGACATGAGAAGAAAAGGTGATCCCTTGTCTCTACTCCTTGCACACATAAAACACAACTTCCGTTTGAACTTGCATTCCATTTGATTAATCTGTCTCCCGTGGCTAAGCGGTTGTTGATTGCAATCCAAGTGATAAAAGCATGCTTGGGAGTGGAGTTAGGGAACCATACTCCTTTATACCAAGAACACTTTGGCTTGACTTGCCAGATCAAATGCCAAGTATCTTTTGAGTAGAACTTGCTCTTGAAAGCATCATTTTTCTTCCTCCAAAGGGGAATGTCATTACCCGTTACATCCGTGCGAAGTCGCAGCGATTCAAGTTCATCTTCAATCTTTTTCAAAAGCTATACACTCCTTCACCGACGAACAAATTTTCTCATGGGAAACTGCACACGCCCAACCGATGGTTGTTTGATCAAGCAGAAGTTGTTGGAGAGATTAGTGGAAATGGAAAGTTGCGATGATAAAGGAACCATTAGCTGTTTTACTCTAGAGAGGAATACAAAGTTTTTCAGTATGGAGAATTTGAGGCAGAGCTCGTGCCGATTACTTATCTCGTCGATAGCGTTCGAGTCCGTTGGCATGGACGCACGTATCGCTCTAGAGTTGGAGCGAGTTCGGCTAAGTTGGTGGCTCAAGGGAGATTGCAGAAACGTAACTTGCTCAAAAAATGCCGTATGTACACAAGTTGACACTCCCGGTGGAAACTCAGGGCACCGGTGCTCATGTCCAGAGGGTCACCATGGAGATGGTTTCATTCATCCTTGCCGGAAAGGTTTGTTATTCTACGCCTTGTATTAAATATTTCTTCGGGAATGAATGATAGGAACAGTTAATCACTACTATAGGCAAAGAATTTAGAACAGTCATGGATTGAGGTTCTAATTAATGGTTTCAAGCGAGTTTATCACTATGTAATGATATCTCGTATTCTATTGGAATAACTTGTTCAAGCTGTCATGTAGGTAATCCGATTCTGTGCGGACTACCCACCAACGGGAGCTGTAGTTATGTTGAAGATGAAGACACTGCGTTTGATATGGTAGTCTTCTTTTGGAGCCTTACAGTGGCCTATGTGACTGTATTTGTAGGGTTTCTTGTCTTGCTGTCTTTTGAATCTCCTCCTCGTCAAGCATGGCTCAGCCTTGTTGATAATTTCATCCACGTAGCGAGAAGGGCCTTGGGGTAATCAAAGAAGCTGAAAGCAAACGGAATCTGTGAAAGCTATCATAATTCGAAACCAACAGTCTTTATCTAGAGCTTGGAACTATTGATCTAGTATGTAATAAAAATCGATATAAGGAAGATATATGTATTCACTATTCTCTGATCAATCTTTCCACAAACCCAACAGTTATATTCACAAGAGTATAAAAGAAGACTATTTCTTGGGTCTCAATTGAGATATTAACCAAACAATATCTTTGATCAAAGTGGTAGTGAGAGGTCTTCTTCATCAATGATGTTACCTTCTTCATGAGTTCAAGACTCTTTCAATGGCGGAAATGTAGAACTCTTTAGGCATTGTACCCATGATGGACTCTCGTTTCTCCCCGTTCTTGAAAATCAGAACTACTGGCACAGCCTTTATCTCGTACTCTTCAGCCACCGGCAAGTCATTGTCTGCGTTCAGGACATAACAATTTAGTTTTCCGGCATAGTCCAATGCTATTTCGTCTATAATCCTGTGCACCATCCGACATGGACCGCACCAACTTGTGTAGAATTCTACTAGCACAGGCGTTTCGCTTTTGAGGACTGAGTCTTCCCATGATCGTTCTGTAACTTCAGCTGCTGTACATAGAAAAATGAGACGTGAGGGAGGATTTCAAAACTCAAATACTCTTAGTGTCATACTAATAACCGAAACAACAAGAACTGAAAATTTTCATGTCAACCTAAGCATCTACCTATCCATTATTGTTGGTGTTTGTGCTAAGTTGTGGAAGTAGACTAGAGTTGTAACCAGAAGAAATTGGGTAATAAAAGCATTTGGAACCACATGTCTTACTTACTTTGTTGTCCACCAAACTAAATGGTTAGAGATCAATGTAAATTAATACTAGTAGCTGCTATTCAGGCCCTCTTACAAACTATTAGCACAAAAGCAGCTAAACCAAAAATCAATCAAACACAAATTTTGATAAATTCCCCAATTTCTTCTAAACACTTGCAAAACCACAATCAATGGTACTAATCAGTATATGTACCTCGAGAATCATGAACGCAGAGAGGAAAGAGACGGTGGCGAGAGGCGGAGGAAGATAGGAGAGATCGTCTATCGGAGAGAAGGAGAGCGCGAGGGGAGAAGCTGGTGACTGGGAAGAGACGCGAGGGAGATGAAATCAGGCGAGCTGTGTGCGATCGAGTGGAGTTAAAACATATAGAGGAGGACGAAGAAGAAGAAGAAATCGCCATTGAAGATTTGAGAAGAAAAAGAAGAAGAAGAAGAAGACCCCATTTCTCAGATCGAGTGGAGAGATACAAAAACGGAGAACAGTGGGTCCCACTACACCGAACTTCCACTTGTCAATTTATTTCTGAAATTAAGAACATACATTTATTTATATTTTTTTGGATTTTGAAAACAATCATTTAATATTTGAAAAACACACATTTTAAAATATTTCGTTTTTATTTTAGAAAATATCATTTAATATTGAGAAATTAGGGTGTATGACCATAAAAAATTTAATAATTCAATAACTAACCTAAAAAAAAGTTGAATACAATATTATGTGTATAACATATAATATATACTAATTTACCCTTTGTTCATATGTCATATCATTTTCTATGTAGTTTTATCTTTTTTTTTCTCTATCATCAATTTTATACTATTCTATGTTATGTCATTTAAGTTTATACTATTTCATTTATGCATTTATGTAATCTAACTTTGATGCGCGTTTAATTCGATAGTTTGGATTCCTTATGTTGTATCCCTTAGGGTATAATAATTCGATAGTTTTGGTGCGTTTAATTCAACAATTTAAATTTTCTATGTTATATTTTTTCTAAGATGTAATGTTTCGGCATGTTGAATTTTCAATGTTCTATCCCTTAGATTATAATATTTCTTTTTTAGCGTACATATAACTTGATCGTTTGAATTTCTTATTTTGTATTTTATAAGGTATAGTATTTCACCACCACCACTATATGTAGTATTTTATTACTATTCTATTTAATTCTATACTATTTTAGTTGTATCTATTTAGATCAAGTTTTATAATTTATTTTTTATTTTTATAAGTTTACTTCTATTTTTAAAAATCCGAATCATGATATATAGAGAAAAAAGACTAGGTTTTATTTCTATAAATTTTATAAATTGCTATTTAATTTTTCAAACAATAAATGTGGAGTAATTCACAAATGGGATAAAAAGTGAAAAAATTATTTAAAAAATCAATTAACCTTCTTCCAAGGTTAGTTTCGTCATATCACTACTTCTCATGGTTACTTACTACATTTTTTTTATTTAGTATGCTATATTCTTAATTATTTTTACAAGTATGTATATTGAACAAAATCACCCTTTAATATTTGATTTAAAAAATTCAACCAATTAAAATAAAGACTCCAGAATTTTGCGTTTCAGAAGGTGCTTAGTCTTTGACATCTCCATCTTCGGTATTCTTTCCTCCACCATCTTCACGTCCACCTTTCCCTGGCCTTCCCCACCATTTGTTTGACACAGTTGTTAACTCGTCTGATGGGAATCCAAATTTGTACTCATCTAAAACTGCCATTATCTTTGCCAAATTAGTGTTCGCTCATATGTTGTAAAACATTTAAGCTAGATCATATTAACAAAATGATCTTATTATATTAAAAGATAGAAAGACTGATGTGTTAGCTCCAGATTACACAAAAATTGTAACATCCCGGTTTCAGGAATATGGTGGTGCATGCGAAAAGGTTTAAAAGAATTGATTTGGTCACCTACGCCACCAAAGTGCACTTATCTTTTCGGTCAAACGTCCTGAGAGAACTCCACAGTTAAGGGTGCTTGAGCTGAAGTAATTTCAGGATGGGTGACCTTCTGGGAAGTGATTGTCGGAACCGTGTGAGTGAGGACAAAACACGGGAAAAGATCATGTGGTAATTTGTAGGGTCGGTAACAAGTCTTTAAAGTCTCCCGGACGTAGCGGACCGGCCGTCGGATACAGGTGGGCCCACGAACCGAGAAAAGACGTGGGCCATTGAGAAAAGTGGCGGTCGGAACGTTACAAAAATACTGATAGCAAGGTTTGAGAGATCCTTAGTGTTTTTTTTTTATTGATTAAAAACATTGGAGTATATTACTTTTAAAATCATTTTTACTGTGTTTTCATATTTTCAAAATATCTTTTTACTCAAAACATTTTCCGATTTATTTATTTGCAATTTTGTGATATTTTTACAAAGGGTTTCAGAGTTTGATCGATTTAGATGTTTAACTAGGAAATTATCATTTAACTAGTATGACATATTGTCGAGAACATGTAGTTTTCGATATTTTTGAGTCTTTTTATGTTTCTATACATGTTTTGTAAGACTAGGCGTTTAGAGGAGAAAATAGAGCAAAACACGTAAAGAGAAGAAAATAAAAGAACGAAAAATGAAGAATCAGACCGACCGGTTAAGCAATTGTACCTGTCAGTACATAAGATGCCGCAAACCGATCAGTTATCTCCTTAAACCGATCGGTTATGTTTTTGTAAAATTTTGTTTTTTCTTCTTTTTAGGACTGCGGCCCATTGTTTATAAATAATTAAATACTAAATATTCTATAATAGCCGCAAAGGTACATTTATGTACGATTTTTCTAGTTTCTAAGATGTTCTTCTTCTTTCATTATTTTTGTTTAAAGATTTCTTAAAACCCTTTGAATCTCTATTCAAACTCTTGATCTTTAATCTTCTATAATGATCACATGTACATTGGTCATGTGTGAGTAAATCCATCATTGAGTTTAGAGATTTTTAAAGGATGTTTGTTTAAATTTATTTACAAGTTATATTTTTTATGGATTGTTCTTCTAGTTCTCTATATTTAATTGTTCTTAAAGCTTTAGTTAAATTAGGCCAATTTAACTATTAGCCATGATCTAATTCCTCAAGCCACTAAAAGTGGTCTTGAATTGATAGATCTATTATTAGATAGGCAAAACTTCTCTAGCCAACTAAAAATTAATGTTATTGTGTTTTGTGGGTTTATTGAATTAGGTTCTTAAAGCTTGTTATATTTACTTAAAACAAACGATAGTTTAGTGCTTAAGTAATTATCTCTCATAGTTAATTATTAATAGTTAATTATTACGTGCGAGAGCAGGATAATTAAACCTTAGTAATTCAAACTGAAAAATGAATCTTAATGCTTCTACAATTAATTTACTTGTTTTTATATGAACTCCCTAATGATTTCTCTATTCTCAGTATTTTTCATAAATATTATATTTATTTTATTTAATTTTTTTATTTAATTTAATAATTTTATTTCTGAAATTTCACATGAGTTCCTGTAACTTTTTATTTTATTTTAGCCAAATCTAATTCTTTATAGGTCTATTGTGTATTATTTTGGTCTCCGACTCTTCGTAGATTCGATTCTTAAATATTATTGTTTTTGCATGTGCACTTGCGGTTTATAAGGGTAAAACTTTCACTCGTTATATTTTTCTAATAGCATATCATCGTCAATTATGTAATTTTATAATTTGTTTATAAACGTTTCTATTTATGACATGCTTCATTAAAAATAAAAATAAAATAAATTGGATAACATGACATTTTTAGTATAACCATAGAGAAATAAACAGAATACCTCATGTAATAATAACTAAAAATGACATTCTATCGACACCTTATAAATAAAACATAGTATTTCATAACTGAAAATGGTAGGTCCATCAATAATTAGCACATCTTGCATAATTTGATACATAATAAAGAAAAATGGTATGAATTATTACATAATGAAATACTCAAAGTTATTTTTTCCTTCTATAAATGATATATCATATGACTTGTGTCAAGTAATAAGAGTAATAGCAAAAGAAGTGTCACAAACAATAAAGTTCATACTAGCTCAACAATAAAGTTAATTACTGTTTATCCCTAGAAGTATTATTTTGTCAACATTGTTTTATTTAATGACTGTTTCTGATGATTTAAGCCATCTTCTCTATATATCTCACATGCTTTAGTTTTTCTCATAGATGTGTTAGTTATGCAATTTACTTGTAAAATAATACACAAAACTGGGAAATTCAGATTCGGAGATTGTGATTTCGGGCTAAAAAGAAAGACGGAACTCTAAGCTTCTTATCTTTGTCAATTTTTCAATCTTTCATCAAATTTTGAATAGATAGGAAAACGACTATGCGTAGAATTTTACTTAAGCGACTTAGGGTTTATGTGTTTGAGTTTCCTTTGGGAGATATAAGTATCTCATTTTTGAGATTCACGAGTTGATCGACATCTCCAATGATTAAAATATGGTTTTAAAGCACTTGAGTTATCATATATAAGACAATTTATTACAAATGGGATCACAACAAACATGCACTTGAATCACATCCACCTAATTTCCATCTAGTTTTTTGTTTGCAATTATTCCCATAGAATTGATTTGGTGATATAATTTTACGAGTTATTTACAAAAAAAAAAAAAAAAAAATTCCCAACACCTTCTAATACTCTTTTCCTAAACATGTCTACTAGACCTACGTTGCAATGATAAATTCGTGGGTTTTTTATTTTTCCTTGTGGTCACATGTTTAAATAATTTTTACTAACCCGTTATATTGCCATTTGTGTAAATTGCCCTTATAGATAAATGTTAGAGATAGCCAAAAAAAAGGACTTATATTGTTATCTATTTAAAAACTAAAGTTGTGGTGTCTAGCTAATTAACAATCTTTATATGTACCAATATTGCTATCCTCAATTATTAGTAATATATAATATAAATAATAGTAGTAGCTGCCGGTCATATTTTTTCTCTCTTTCTCTCAAGCAAAACTAAAAACACAACACATACACAAGCTATATGGCTGGTATGCTTCCCGGAGTCGAGTGTGCAAGGAGGCGACGCTTCCACGGTGGTGCTCCCCCGATTGAATCCACGAACACGGCTGTGGCGGCAGCAGCAGGACACGTCTGGACGCGGCGACCATCGTTTTCTCTTTACACTACCAATCATGAAAGCCACCAGGCCCATGTCTCCTTCTCGGTAATGAAATGAATAAAACAATATATAGGTTTTTTTTTTAATGTTTTTCTTAAAATAATGTCGTTAATTAAAAATTTTCTTTATGAGATTGGAATCTTAAATTTTGTAAAATTATAGGAGAGAAGTGTTAGGAACAAATCTTATGGAGAAGACAACGATGAGAAACTAGACGGAGCAGCCAAAGAGGCAAAGAAGAGGCTGAACGAACGGCTGAGAATCCCGCGCAGAAGGTTCGATTTAGTAAAAAAAAACGGCGTACGGTAGTAAAACAAATTCATAATTCACCTTAAAATGCACCGAAGAAGCTTCAAGTCTTTTGCTCTATTTGTCATGATAATGACGCATGTTGATGTATTCTAATTCATAACATGTGGTATCACATGAGCATATAATTGTGAGATTGTCTTTTGTCGGGAAATAATTTCATTATCTCTTTTAGTGTTAACCCCACTTTGTGACTTGTGGGCGCATTTTAGCAAGTTCTCGCTATTTATTGTTAAGTTGCGTCTTATTGTTTTTATAGTGGAAACTTCCCGGAAACTACTAGGCAGCTTCCAAGAAAGCCAAAAATTTGACATTACTCTATCTTGAACTTTGCTTTCAATTTTCAAGTTCAGGCAAAATGGTAAAGATAAAGGGAATAAATTGGAGCAAGGAAAAGGTAAACCGCCCGGGGCGTTACCGACTGAGGTGGTCGGGTTAAAGAAGAGTCGAGGAAGGTTGATCGAATGGTTCAAGTGGAGAGTTAGGGAACAACAAGATTGTGCTATATGTCTAGACCAATTCAAGAAGGGTGAGACGTTGGTACACTTACCATGTGCCCATAAGTTTCACTCCTTATGCTTATTGCCTTGGCTAGACACCAATGTTTATTGCCCATATTGTAGAACGGATATTTGGAATTAAATGTTATATTTTAATGTCATATTTCGAGGTATTGTTTATGGCTAATCTTAGATTTTAGGAATTTAAACATAAAATGACTAGCGCGATCAATACCTTCAAGACTTCTCACTTCTGTTATGATCACTTGCTTAAGGGAGATTTGCAATATAAGGTTTAAACTTAACTAAATTTTAGCTCTTTTTATAATTCTGAAATTCAAGCTAAGGTTGTTTTATATATATTCGACCAGAATTTTCATTTCTTCCTTTTAAATATATAGTTACAAATTGCAGAATGCTAGAATTTTTGTTCACTATATAAGTGAATTATCTTGGATTGAGCAAATTAAGAGGAAATGTGATAGTTATATGTAAGCTGGATCTTGTACTAGATAACGAAAAGTGGATTGCATGGTATTCCGACACGTATGTCAAAAAAACATAACATTTGTGGGTCGAATCATAGACCGGTGGTGGCCACCATTCCATCAAAATAAAAAAAATAAGTTGAAATACACGATACGGTAAAACATGGGTGCACTAGACCAAACAACTAAATTTTCGAAAAGCACTATCGTCTTAGAGGGTGAGAAATGAGCCCAATAGCTTCAACACGAGGTATCGTCCTTTGACTATATATCCTTAATGCAAACGTCCAAATGCACCAGTACAACACAGGCCCAAATGGGTAAGATAAAAGTGCAACATGCCATGTCTTCACAACTTCATGGCCAATAAGGCCCCGTTAATTCTTTTTATTAATATCAAAATGGCAGAATGTTTTAAAAATATATATAGTTTGAAAAGCCTAAAAGTGCTTAAAATAGGCCCAGTCATCTAAAAACACTAGAAAAAACAAGAGATAGTGGATGTATTTTGTGGTGTTCAAAAAAAAAAAAAAAAAAAAAAAGTGGATGTATTTTGTAAACAGCCAGATTTATATAGCTTTTTCTAATAATATTTTCAGTTTTTCACTATGAGAGGACAGTCATATAAAAGTTTGACTTCACTTCATCATATGCATGATTTGATTGATTTTACAAGGAGATAATTAAGAATGTTGCATGTGAAGATTAACATTGAAAATAATATGATAGATATTGTCAAAAAACTTTGGTCCATGGTTTGAGGAAAACATTCTTGGAAACAATTAGAAAATAATTATTAATATGTATAGGTCAAGTCGAACTCAAATTAATATGAGTTTGTTTGGAAAATAGCCCAAAAATAAATTGTGTGAATTTAGGTAACAAAGTATACAATATCATACTAATGAGAAATTTGATTTGGGTTTGTAGAACCCAAAAATATGTTCACAACTGTTTGGTAAACTTGATAAGGCTAGAAAGTGCCCAAAGTTATTGAAGCTTAAAATACTAGGTTTGAGAGTGAAATTCAAAAGTTATATGAAGAGATTAAGAAAGACGTAGAGTACTTTGTAGTTTTTGTTTGTAACTCGAGTAAAAAAGAAAAACAATTAAGACATTATTAGGGTTTGAGAAACTTTTATCCGATCAGAAGGTTTGAGAGAGACACTATACAGGAAGGAAGTTTTTGAAGATGTAGCTGCAGTCTGATGAAGTTGTTAGTCAAGAAGTAATACAAGATTTTTTCTGATGGAGTTATTGAATGATTCAAGAAGTAAGTCAAGATGCGACTGTTTTTGTGTTAGTGTCAGTTTTTAGAAGGTTTGAAAAGATGTGTTTGGAGCGTGTTTAGAGGATGAATCACAAAGGAAAAATGACTTAAAGAGATTTGGAAGACTTGATGAAAGTGGATTTTGATGAGGAAAAGGAAAAGTGTAAAAGGAAATTTACTTTTTCTTATGGAAATTGGAAATCTTCTCCTATGGTGATTAGGAAATCGTTTTGGCTATATAAGGAAGAGCTGAGGACGTCTTTGAAAACAAAGAGAGCTGAGGCATAGAGATAAATCATTGAGAGCTTTCTGAGGGTGTGTGCGACATAGTTTCGCGGTTTTGTGCGACATAGTTTCGCGGTTTGATGCTTGTGTGATCAAGCTTATTTGTCTGTTGGTGTAACATTCGTGTGTGACGGTTGGTCCAGAGACTTGAAGAATTGAAGTCTAGACTCAGGGGGAGTTTAGCTCAGGGTTAGGTTATCCTGATTAAATCTAGACTCAAGGGGAGTTTAGTTAAGGGTAGAGATTATCCTTAAGGTTTCACGTTATAGAAGAGAGCGGTAAATCAAGAGGGTTGTGCTTGTTTTACGCGTTTGCAAATTGGTTGTTATTTGCTTTCTTGTTCTAGTGAAATCGAAATATAGAATTGGTCCCGGGGAGTAGGAAAAACCGAACCTCGTTAACAAATTTCTTGTCTCGTTTACTTTCTTCAAATTATCTTACCTCATCCGCACTTACAATTGGTATCAGAGCGGGTTCTCGATAGAGATTTAGTCTTGTTTCGGGTAGATCAAGGGTGAGGTCAGGAAATCGTTCAGGAGATCGTTCAGGAAGTAAGACAGAGTTTGATATCAAGATTGATGGAGATATTGAGTTTTCCATTCAAGAAGCGGTTCTCATGGAATGAGGGAAACAGATCTCTTCACGGGCTTAGGGCTAATGGAAAAAGAGAAGAGTTGGGTACTTCATCAAAGGGCATACAATGTTTTGAGTGCAAAGGTTTTGGACATGTGCATTTGGAATGTGCGAATTTGCTGAAGCCAAAGAAGAAGAAAATTATTATAAATAACTCTGAAACTGATTCAGATGATGGTGAAGAGTTGAAGAGTTTTGTGGCGTTTAAAACCTTTGAGTCAACTTCTGTAGTAGGAGGTGTATCAGCGTCTGTGTCAGGGTCTGCATCAGCGTCTGCAACAGGAGCTGTAATTGGAAGTGATAATGATCAAAGTGATGACGATGATGCAAGTATCAGTGATGAAGAGTTTCATGAGAATTACAAAGCCTTATATGAGCATTGGCTTAAAATGGTAGAGGAGAATTCAGTGTTAACTAAGGAGAAACTCAAGTTAGAGGCTAAAGTCATTGAAGCACAGAAATATGCAGCAGAAAAAGAAGAAGAAGCATCACAAGCTAAAGTACAACTTGAAGAAACTCAAAAGAATTTGAGGATGCTTAATAATGGCACAAAGAAGTTGGATCATATTCTGAATATTGGCAAGACTGATAAGTGTCGCCTTGGAGGAAAACTTCCAAAATCGGATCCGGTGTTTGTTTATGGTGGAAAAATCACGTCTGGATCAGGAAGTGTGTCAGAAACTGCAACTGTGGCAGAGACTGCATCTGGTACGAGAACTACTACGAGAACTGGTACAGAAACTGCATCAGCTTTAAGGAAAAATCCAGAATTGAATAATGCACCTCAACGAATTTTTCGACCTGTTTGTCATCATTGTGGTGTTGTTGGGCATATTAGGCCAAGGTGTTTCAGATTGTTGAGGGAGAGAAATCGAATGGTGAATACTTATGATGTGAGATTTCATGGTCCTACATGTTATCATTGTGGAGTTCAAGGGCATATTAAGAGGAAGTGTTTCAGATATTCGAGAATCCAATCATGTAGGCTTAAGGCGCAAGAAGATTTGGGTTAGGAAAGATGGTTTCTATGGAGGTGGTTTACTAGGCTATCAACCTCGTATTCCAAAACGGGGAGAATTTTCAAAGTAGTTTTGACCATGTTGTGACTCATTCAGGGGGAGAATGATGATGTGTTTCGTGATGTTGTTTTGGAGCACTACAAGAAATATGGGTATTGATAGCAGAAATTCATAGCGCAAATTTTGTAAATGCTATAGTAGTTATTGTCCCGGATTAGAGACTATATAATAGCATTCAATAAACGCTAATTCTAAAATTACACACGCGGGAATCTAAAATCACTCTATTCCGCCAACACTTAATGAAAATTGACTAATTAGTAAAATTAATAGCGCCATAGGGTTGTCTTTCCCTCGACACTTAGTCAAAAAAAACCAAATTAGCTACAGTCGAAAAACAAAACACACAGTCAGACCCTCGAGCTCTCCGACGAGAAGACGACCGTCGAGCTTCACCGGATTCATTCTCACCCTCGAGCTTCATCTGTTAATCGACTGTTCCTTCAAACTTATCGGTCTGTGTCGTTCTTCTTTGATTTCTTTTTCTGATTTGCCGCTTCAGTACCTTCTTAGGATTCTTCCGATTTCAAGTTCACTTTCGTTTTGCATTTCGCTTCTGCACCTTCTTAGGGTTCTTCTTAGGGCTCAAACTTCTTCGGCTTCTGCAGCCATTTCAAAAAATCATTTTTTCGATTTAGGGTTTTTTCTGATTTCAAGTTTAATTTGTCGATTTAGGGTTCTTTTGATTGATGGTCTTAACTTGATGATACTGAATTCTGATTCGATTTAAGACTTATGGTTCTTTTGAATTTCCGAAAAACATATATCGATTTAGGGTTCTATGAAAAGTCAGTAATTTGAGATTTTTTTTTCAGGTTTGGGTGTGGACTTCGCAAAATCAACACTCTCTTTCAGAAGATTTGAACAGTTAAGAGCTTTTTCAGTCTTATGATTAATTAGTTAAACAAAACTGTATTGTTAATGTGAATCTTTTGCGTATTGCACATGTACTGTGTTGCTGCCTGAATCATGTTGTTTTGAATTACAATATGAACGGTTCTCAATAAGGGTAGCAGATACAATGTTGGACAAGGCATGGGTTCATCTATGCAGGTAAGTTTATTTACAGAAATAAATTTCTGTTTAACTGGTTATGTTTGTCTGAATTTGTTGCTTTCTTTCTTTTGGCATGTACTCAAGAACTGATCCTGCTTATGAGATTGGTGCTTTGAACTTTGTTCATGCGGTCACTGCTGCTTTAGGAGGAACTGATATGGTAATATGCCCATGTACTGACTGTCGCAATGTAGATCGTCATTTAGGCAGTGTAGTAGTTGATAATCTAGTAAGAAAGGGTATGGATGAGGCTTACAAGACAAGGAGGGACTGGTATCATCATGGAGAAATGATTTCAGGGGATGCTGTAGATAGAAATGGTAATCAGTGGAATGAAGAGATTCTAGGGATATACAGAGCTG